GTTTTCCCGACAGGTTGGTTGTTTTTTTTTGGGATTTTAAAGGGATTTAGTTTGTAAAATTTGTGAATTTTTAAACCGACGGGGTTGGTTGTGTTTTTTGGAAAATATTACGGCCCTACTTGTATATTGTACTTTTTTTTACCGACGGGTTTTGGTTGTTGGGGTTTGGAAAATTAATTACGGACAAAGTTGATATTGGGGACATTTTTTTTACCGACGGTTTGGGTTGGGGTTTTTTGGGAATTTTAAACGGACTAGCTTGTATATTGTGCATTTTTTAACCGAACAGGTTGGTTGTGTGTTTGGAATATTACGGACTGTTTTGTATTTTCCGACATTTTTTTTAACCGGACGGGGTTGGTTTGTGTTTTTGGGGGGAATATTACCGGACTAGTTTGGGTATATTCGCCTGTTCCCAAACAGGTTGGTTGGGGTTTTTGGGAAAAATATTACGGATAGCTTGTATTTTTCTGACATTTTTCTATCAAAAGGTTTTTGGGTTTTTTTTGGTTGTTGTTTGGAAAAATTACGGATTAGCTTGTATTTTGTGTCATTTTTTAACCGACGGGTTTGGGTTTTGTGTTTTTGGAATATTACGGACTCTTATATTTACATGTTCTCCCGACTTTTTTGGTTTTGTGTTTTTGGGAATTTTACGGACTACTTGTATTTTTAAACATTTTTAAAACCCGACGGGTTTTGGTTGTGTGTTTGGAATATTACGGATTTAGCTTGTAAAATTGGGTTGACATGTTCAAACCCGCCCCAGGGTTTGGTTGTGTGTTTGGGGGTTTTAAACGGGACTAGCTTGTATATTGTGACATTTTTTTCCGACGGGTTTTGTTGTGTTTTGGGATATTACGGAACTAGCTTGTTTTTATTGTGACATTTTTTTACCAAAAGGGGTTGGTTTTTGGGGGTTTTTGGGAAAAATTTTTAAGGGGACTAGTTTTGTTTTTATTCGGACATTTTTTACCCGACGGGTTTGGGTTTTGGTTTTGTTTGGGGGAATATTCCCGGACTAGCTTTAAACCCATGGGGGAACCTGGGGAGATACTTGAAATCTAAATTTCCATTTTTGCAATCCCTATCGAAATTTTTCCCCCCCCGGCCAACATTTTGTGTCTACTGATTTTCTGGGGGCAGAGTTGGGAGAAAGGGCCCGTGATGATTGGAAGTATGCTAATTGGGGGGCGTCGGGTTTGATGGGACAATATTCACTCTTTGTATTTTTCCAAATTTTTTACAAGTCCAAATAACCCCTGGCAATATTTTGATTGTCCAAGTTATAAGAATCTATATGAAAGCAAAAAATTTGCAATTTCAAAACAACAACAAAGTTTCGAAAAAATCTTTTTGGTAACAGTAAATGCTATAAAGAATCCTTTAAGTTACCAAATAATGTGTTGTGTTGAATCCATCTATGCCAAGTGGCTAGGTCTTATGTAAAAGTTGCATCATTTTTTTATAAGAAAACATAAATTATTTACAATGCCCGTTGAAAGTCTTTTTGAGAAAAGAGAAAAAAAAATGAAACATAAACCAAAATTTCTGTTGAAAAAATTGAGTATTGATCAGATTAATTAAATGGTGTTTTAATAAATTCCGAGATAGTTTCAAATGTCCGTGGACGTTTTTATACGTTTGTACAGTTTTACCTTTAACATTATTAATATTGGGCTGTTTTCAGTATCGAAATATTATTACATAAAACAAGTATTTATGCAATTATTATATCTTTTATACATACATTAAACAGATAAAACCAGTAGTGACAACAGTTCTTGCGTTGATAGGTAAAATGGGATTATCAGCAGGATTTTCTAAACCGTGTATATATTCCTCTTCTAAATTTTTTCCCCAAGTTTAAAGGGAACGCGGGGTTATGGGGGAAAAGTTTTTTGGTAGGGGCTCTTTAATAGGAGGCCTGGTTGCCCGTTTTTGGGCAGTTTTGGGGAAACGGTTACTTTTTTTTTTGTTCCCGTTGCTTTTTTGGTTAAAGTGAAATTTTTTTTAAATATTTTGTCAACAAAGCGGGCAAAAGTTTTCTACGAGCAAAGTGTGTTATTTTGGTTTTTTTAAAATTAATTTTTTTTGGGGGGCAAAAATTTTGGGCTTTTTAAATGGGAAAGTCGTTTTTTCCCAGATTTTTAACAATATAGTTTTTACTAGTTTATATAAAGAATAAATGTATACATATAACTCTATCTCAAATTTTATTTGTAGCCAGACGTTATGTTTTTGGGTTTAATTGATTTTAATAACCAAAGGTGATTAATTTAAAAGGGGGCTTTACCGTGTATTAATTTTCCCATACGCTTTTTTTTCAAATTCCCGGATGGGTTTGGGGTTTGGGGGGGGCAATTTTGGTTTTCCCTTTTAACCAAAACTTTTTTTTTTGGCAGTTTGCCCATTGTGGGCCCGGTATACCCAGAAATATTTCTGCAAAAAACACTAAACGTTTCCCTTTCCAAAAACAATAGAAGTTTGGGAAAAAATTTTGGGAAAAAAGTATGAACTGATTTAATATATTATCCCATGTATTTTAAAATTTTACAGTAGAAATTATTAAGTTTTGGGTTTCCTTTTTAAAGGTGGGTAAAACTTTTTTATTTTTAATAAATTTTTAAAACGGGTTAAAAAAGCAAATTTTTTTCCTTTGAAAATAAGTAAAAAGGGAAACCCAAAAACTTTAAAATTAATGTATTATTTTTAAATTTTTAAGGGCCAAAAATTTAGTGTAAATTAATATTCAGTTTTTTCTGTAAGCTACAGTGGAAAAATTTAAAACTAACTTGAAAAAATACGGACGTGTATTGCATATCTTATCACGAAAATACATAAAATTTTTTCATGAAAACTTGACAGTTTTAAAAGATAAACGAAATAGAGGTTTTCCTTAACTTTCTATTACCAGGATAGATTAGTCGGCGGACAAGTATAAATAATATTTTGGTTCCATATATGTTTTCTGAAAAGTGTAAGAAAATTTTCTTCAACCTTGTTTTGCTTAAACTGATTGCATGTTTCAAAGTTTTATGTTACAGACGCTAAAATATGAACTTTTTGGACCTTTAGAGGTTAGAAGGTAACAGAGAAAAAATAAATCTTAAGTTTACCAGTAACTTAAATTTAAAACTATCCTTAAATATATCAAAAATTGCATTGAGCCTGGAAACATAATAAATACAAATAAGTCACTTTGTTTTATTTTCCAGGAACAACGATATACGGGTCTATCAATATTGAAAAGATGGTTGAAATATTACAATAGAGAAAACTGCTTGTACATCCAAACTTTAGAGAAACTTCAAACAAAACAATATTTCCTGTGCTTTGAATAACACAGAACTTCATTTTCATTGACGATTTTTTAATGATAATGTTTGTGTGTTTCATGAAAAACATAAAAATAGATATTTTATGGTTCAGTTTATTTTAGACATTTACAAAAGCATATTTTGCAACATATTATATAGTTGTGTGTAATAATTGTTGAGTAGGAAAGCGTTTTCAGCGTAATCACGTTGTTACTTTTAAACATATTATTATAGTTGTGTGTAATAATTGTTGAGTATAGGAAAGCGTTTTCAGCGTAATCACGTTGTTACTTTTAAACATATTATTATAGTTGTGTGTAATAATTGTTGAGTAGGAAAGCGTTTCCAGCGTAATCACGTTGTTACTTTTAAACATATTATTATAGTTGTGTGTAATAATTGTTGAGTAGGAAAGCGTTTCCAGCGAAATCACGTTGTTACTTTTAAACATATTATTATAGTTGTGTGTAATAATTGTTGAGTAGGAAAGCGTTTCCAGCGAAATCACGTTGTTACTTTTAAACATATTATTATAGTTGTGTGTAATAATAGTCGAGTAGGAAAGCGTTTCCAGCGAAATCACGTTGTTACTTTGACTTTGACTCCCATAAACTAAGTTTAATTACAATTATATCAAGTAGGTTTTCAGTTACTGAGTGATTGACCTTTGCTCATGAGTGAATATATCATGCAACAATTTCTTGCTTTAGTCTGTACAAAGATAACCAAACGCAAGTAACCGGATCTTTTATGTTTTTTAATTATGTTGTTGTTTTTATGTCCTTAATGTCTGAAAAATAGCTAATGATGTTTGAAAAATGTCCATTGTTTAATTAGTTGTCTATAAACATGGCAATAATGATTTTAATACTTGTAGCTCCATCTTCTTTTCGGTGTAATGTTCAATGTTGCTGGTGTAAAGGCTTGGACGCTCTGCAATGCCTTCGCCTACAGTTATATAAGTTTTATCATATTAATTAGCTAATATAAATAAATAAGACAGACGACAAAGATTCAAATTATAAAACAAATATAAGAACCTAAACAAACAGAAATGTAAGTGGCGTTTTTAAGACAATTTAAACAAATTTGTTTGTCATTATATTGATAGTTATCTATCAGTCGCAAGTAGTGATTATGTGCTCTAGAAATTCATAAAGAACAGAATATGTATGAGGATCCAGTATTTAACTACCGGACAAACTGAAAGATCTAATAAAATAATCTACTTGATTAAAAAATATATACTGTATAGTTGCGAATCATTTTTGTTTTTGTTTTGTTGGTGGAGTGCCCCTTTGTAGATTATTTCAGGCACAAACGTGCACATGAGTAGAACCACCAACGTTTCGAAAGCAAGACGGCTGCCAGCAGCGATGAGGGGCAAGTGGTTTGAAGTCAACGACTTTAACCACTTGGCCACGGACGCCCAAGTAACAATCTAGGATTTATTTTACTTCTATGTCTGAACTGATTAATTGTAAATTAATGTAAATACTAATTGACGTAATGCTTGATTTTGCAGAAAAAGTTTTCATCATAAAAATATACCGGTGAAAATTTCCTCGGTTGTCTGTCCCTAGAACTCCAGTCTGATGCTTTCCTGCTCTTCACGATGATATAGATTATTACAATTATTACACCAAGTGTACATAGTCCACCTATAACAAGACAATAATTTAACGATACAAATAGCGAACCTATAAAATATTACTTACGTTTAAAAAAAAGACATTTCATTATCGTTAAAACACAAATTATTAGTGTACGAAATTTTTTTAAAATAAATCTTGGTGGGCTATACATATGTGTTTACCTCTTAATTATGTAGGTGAGGCAGATATTTTTTAATAATATGATAGGCATAGGTACTATCTGATTTAAATTAATTAGCGTGAACATTTATCTGCATTTACCATTCAATTTCTGATTGTTTAAAGTTATTCTTTATATCTGTATCTAGAACAAGGATAAAAATAGGAATTTCTTGTTTTGTATCATCTAAGTAGTGACATTTTATTTTTATAGCTAGGTCTTTAGTTTATATACAGAATTTATTTTAGTCCGACTTGTATGGAAGCTATAGGCTTATAGATATCGAATCCGTACCCGGAACCAATCAGTACTGTGTAATGGTTTGAGTACCAACTCATCAATGTTACAGATTGTTTCTTGTTTTAAGATATAAATTTTTGTTTGTTTCTCAAATAGGTGTCGCTTAATAAAAGACTTAATTATTTTCGAAAACTCCAAGTGAGAAATATTCAAATTTAAATTATTATCTGATATGTTGTATGCGCACATGATCAGTGTTTCACTTATAAATTATAAGTGCTTATAATGCAATACCAGAACTGGTTTTTTCCTATGTTCTTAATTTGATTGTTATAACAATCACATAAATAAGTACTAGTAAGTTGTTTTATTACATGGTGTTCCTATGTAATCATATACAACTACAGCAAGCATTTTATTCTAGTGAAAAATTAAAGTTTATTTACCAAGAGCTATCGCTGCATAAGCAGCAGGAGATATGAGGCAATCTGATTGGTCACCACAAGGGTCATACTCGCTACAGCTCAGTGAGTGGAATATACAACGTTTGTTGGCACACATGTATTCATAAGAATGACAAAGCCCTGCAAATGTAATCACATCATTTACTGCACTTATGAATGAATGAATGGATGGATGGATGGATGGATGGATGCACACAAGAAAAGTGAAATGAGCCGCGTCAAGACAAAACTAACATAGGGCGTTGGCGACCAACATGGTTCTACACCAGCCTGCGCATCCGCGCAGTCTGATCAGGATCCATGCTGTTCGCCATCAGTTTCTCTACTTGTTATAGGGTTGGTAAGCGAACAGCATGGATCCTGATCAGACTGCGCGGATGCGCAGGCTGGTGTGGATCCATGCGGGTCGCAAACCCATTATGTTGGTTTTGTCATGTCACGGCTCAAATATAAAATTCAAGGAAAGTTGAATATAGAAGACAAAATTGTTGAGTATAGCAGAAACGAACAATTGAATATAGAAGACAAGAATATATTATTTTGTAATAAACGTATGATTCTAATAGACAGTTAATACAGTGCCACGTGTTTTGGCTTTTAGACACAAATGAACAAACTAGGGAGTCACAGCCATAGGTTGCCCGACCATGAGAAATTTAGACATTTTGAAAAGAATGTCTAAGTGTTTTGGAATACAATACTTAAATAATGCTAATAATTAAACATTCTAATAACATTGTCATTGACTAAGGTCATAGCAAAGCTAAGAGCCAAAGATGAAACATGTGTTCTGTAACAGCTAGTGGCACTATTTAGAAAATGATGATAACATTTACCTGTGTGAAATGCTGTGAATATAAGCGACCAGTTTCTTCTTTGAGTTTTGATGGAAACTTGATTTTAAGAAACCTCGTAAGAAGTGACGAAAGATTGGGTTTTTGAGGGCTATTTCATTTATTTCTATACCTAGACAAACACATAAGATACATGTACAAGGTAAATTGTAAATCGAAATTAATTTTATAGATATAACAAAGAAAGAATCGATCTCATAAATGTTATATTCGTTTATAGAATAAAACTGCCATCCATATTTTGGTTATTTTAATAAATAAAAAAACCTTATTAATTTGTCTACAAACTGTTTTCAAACTGATGATTATGAAGACGTACAAGGAAATCTTACTTTCATTTAGATGAACATCATCATAGACAGTTAATATTAAGATGGTTTTGTTATGTATTGACGTGTGTTGTTCTTCCCTTTCATCCACAATAACACGTGCCATTATTCTCAGAGATTCTAAATTGCTCGGATAGTCGGCGTAAATGGTCAATCAAACTCTTTACATGTTGAGTTAACAACAGCGTCCTCGGTTTTTATAAACAATCTGTCCAGCAAATATCCAGTCATTGTACATAGATATAGTGCTATAACAAGTGTCGTCCTGCTGCTGTTCCTTCGTAAATGTCTGTAACGGAATCTGTAAAGAAAATCAGTGTAATAAAATCAGCGTAATAAACTGAACCTATTGCAAATTTGAAAGCAAAATACATGTACATAATTTGTACAGTACAGTAGAACAGTTCAGAAAAAAGTACAGACAGATCTATCTAAATGTTTAAAAATTTTAGGAAGCACGATTTTATTTAGTACAATTTCATATACAAAAAAGCATATTACTGTAAAGCAGCACGCCTCCAGATTATGCAAATTTGTCATAAAAATGTGAAAAACAATATTTAAAAGAAAATTACTTTGAAAAAAGATAAGACAGTTATTAGATATATATAAATATTGCAAAATCAGTCATTAATTCGAACATAAACATGTAAATTTTTTAATGTACTTTAACCTTGAATCTTTTTACTTTCCTTAAAATATTAGTACATTTTTTCTCAAGTTTGACTTTTCTTGAAATTTTTTGGCTCATCTGGAGGCATGTTGCTTTAAAAAAGAGGGACCGATTTAAAAGCACGAATATGACAGCTCACTTACGGATATAAATATCTACGTCAAATCAAACTAAAAAGAAAAACATGTTGACACAAAACTTACAAGTGCGGAATTCGTCACTCCTATGACAGAGAAAATTAGAAAAATTTTAATCACTAACATAATAAATACAGACATCTTAGTTCATCAAAAGAGAACGGTTTATTCCATTTTCAGTAGAAGAACATGGACTTTCTTTATTCCTCTAGATATAATAATATCATGTTAATTACACAAATTGGAATTATTTATGCGCGGACGATATTTGTTTACTTTAGATATTGGTAGTATTAACAAGCTTTGGAAGATAAATGACAGGTGCAGTAGAATTATCTTTTAAGTCTAACAATACTTTTATCTTTATAGTTAGTCCTTGTTTCTTGTCCGACACGGGAGTTGGTTAGTATATTTTCCTCTAAATACATCAAAGATGTCCACTGTCTGGGTGAAGTACTCGATAACAACAACAACAACAACAGCAATAAATAATAATAATAATATAATGTGATAATAACAATTATAATGCAACAAAAACAACAACATTAGAACAACCAATACAATAATAATAATTTAATAATGATAAATGTTAATAATTATTTGTTCTTTGATAATGAAATAAAAATAGAACGTCACGATCAACCAATGAAAATCGACGTTGAAACGTTTCTGACGTTCATATTTGACGTTGTTTCTATGTTATTTGCGGCATTGTTCACAACAGCAATCTAAAGCTTTAAATATATATTGTTAGTTTTCATTAGTTTATATTATTACAAGAAAATAATTAAAGTATGGGTACTTGTCTAGGAACACGTAAACCAAAGCGGAACTCTGTGTGTCCTCCTTTCACGACAGATCGCCGCGACAGAAAAGCACCAGAAGATATGATGAGGGATCTCGAAGAGGGTAATGGTTTATTGAAAATAAAATCTTGCTAAAAAGAAAGTCAAAAAATGTAAGATAAACATAAGGTATATACTATATATCTACAGTTGTAAATGCATGCAACATCAAATCAATTTGCTTTTTGAGAGTTTAATTAAGATACATTTTTTCTAAAATATCTATAAGTACATCGTATTTTATTTTTCAATATTAACCATTTTGGTTTTTCTTGATTTTACAACGTTACCTGGGAAAAGTAACATTTCAACAAATAATATCCTAAGTTTTGTTGTGTGATTGATCAAGTTGGTCAAATATGCAAACTGAATAGCCCTGTTGCAAATGTTTGGCTGCTAAATAAATTCCGATAATTATTATTTAACAGCAAAATGTCGAGGATTCCAAACTTGCGTCAGCTGGTGTCTCATTTTCGTCGATTTCAAAGATGGAGATACGACCAGAATGCCATCTAGGCTGGCAGACCGGCTTAATGGAACTGACCAAACAAACTTTAGGATAATAATGAGGTAATTGACTGTAGTGTCTAAATATAACCAGATCTTTAACAAAACAGACCCGAAGGATAGTTTAATAGGTTTAATTTTTACTGTAAAACTGTTTTATAAGAACTGACTCTACAATTATTAGAGGCCATATGCATACATTAAACTGAGAAAGTAGGTATTATCATAACTTGAGAGTAAAGCATATTACTTTGAAGACTTAAAGCGAGTTCTTTCTATGTACGGAAACCTACATAACGTTTTCATAATGAGGGACAATGGGGGTTGAGGAATTTAAACTACGGGAAGGTCGAATAAATTACAATGAATGGAAAAAAATCAGTTATATAATAGGCATGTATTAAAATATTGGTAACACCCTGCTTGAAATTTACTAGAAGTTTACTCATGAATAGATTTTAATTTGAGTATTAATGTACCACTTTCCAGATCCATCTACACATCTGAGGAAAAAGAGATTTTGGCCGAGCTTCTTCGTAAAGACATTTTTACGTGAGAAAGAGAGAAAGGCAGCTTGGCCTCTCTGGAGCTAAAAATTCTAATCAGGTTACAAATAATTTATCTTCTATTTTCTGTGCACGTGAAATAGCGTGGTAATTTATATGAATTACCAAGGTTTACAGAATCTCATTAAAAGCATACATGCATTCATTGAGTATTAAATTTTTATCGGTTTCTCACAACAACAAAAATTTATATAAAGTCGGAGCGTAAAAAGTTCAAAATAACTTTATATGTATGTAGAATATAAGCAATAAATTTAACAGTTGGTAATATACTTAACATGTTTTTTTCCAGTTGGGGGGGTTCCACGACTTAAATGCTGATTAACTGCATCGCAATTATCACCACGCCCTCTCTTCTTAACCTTTTGTTTCTGTTGCTTCGGGTTTTTTTTGTTGTTGTTTGCTATGAGTTGTTTAATAAAAGTGTGTTTAATGGAAGCAGTTCATTTCAAGTTTTATTTTTATTTCCAATCTATATTCCATGAATATCAATTTTATTAACTGAACAATATCTAGTACATGAAGGACGTGGCCTGCATCGTACATTGTTTTTGGTAGGTTTGTTTCTGTCGGTGTTTATCCAGTAACGCCGGAATGTTAAATTTAAACGCACCATTCCTGCAAAAGTCAGGCAGAATGGTGCAAATATTATAAATGGCGGATACTTGACAGGATTTTCCAACGTGGTAATTAAACTGGTCATTATATTCTTTATTTAACCAATGTGAAAAAAAGGGATCGAATAGCCGCATACGGCTGCGAAGACATTATAACTTTATCCCTTCCACGAAATTGCTTACTTTAAGATCGTTCTACTACTAGAGATATAGCAATAATTTAACAAAGCTCTTAGATATTAAGAAATTGCTATGTATATGATAAACGGTTCAAACCCCATTGTTTCCCTGAGTAAGAAATTGTTCACGCATTGCTTCATACTCACTTCAACAAAGATTTATATTACGAAGCTTAAAGCTACGGATTCGGTGTCTATATTTTCTAAATGAATTCTGTATAAATGAATTAAAGTTTTTCCCCCAAAAAAATATTTTTGAAAAGTGCTTTATACTTGCCGATTAATGGCGTTAAAACCGTGTTATAATTCAGTACCATATATGAAAAAAATCACATTTTTCGGCGTTACGCGAAGCACATATTCATGAACTTGGGCGATACTTCATGAAAAATGGCTTGAACCTATATTTTTATCAGCGTATTTTCATTTTTTTACG